GGAGCTTCTGACAATGGTGGTGAGTGATACATGGGCACATGGGGCAACTGGCTGGCTTGCCGAACTATCTTCCTCGTGGTACCAGCTGGGTGGTTCGGAATTATCCCGTTCCAACGAAAGGTTCGGCGGTCGTGTTCCAGGACTTGGTGGGTTTTCGCCTGGCAAGCGTTCTACATATAAAAAGCCACTTATGTCCATTTAACTACCCTACGACGTAGCCGAGGTCACTCGCCACTAAAAAAGTCACTGCCCCTTGCTGCACCTTGCTAGAACATTATAATCTTCAGTTTGACACTGAATTACTGGAAATTTGGGGCCTGTATTTGGCAGCCAGCCAAAGGAAAAACGTGTGAACCGGGCAATCGTTCACCGGCTTACAATAAGCGAGATTCCTTGTATTCGCCCCGCTGCCTTGCTGGTCAGGTCCCTATGATCAATGACTCCGGGCGGGGTCCCTAAGTATAGTGACAATGACATTTTACTCCATCAAGCATCACCATCCAGACTTGTACACATTTTGTTTTACTTTGCACGCACCCAAAGCCTATATATACCGGACTGCATTTTTGAACTTGGTCCCCCATCTTGCCCGCGTGTCCCCCGCTGTTGCGCTCCGTCGTGGTGTAACTCGTTGCTTCACCACTTTCTCCCACTGCCCTCAGGCTATATTTCCATAGCTATTGCACAGTGCTATTTTCTAAAGACATTCTTTATAACCTACCGTCTTCTATCTTACTAGACTACGGATTTCTTGTGTAGCATTCATCAAGGCGCTACATAAGTCAACCCCCTTCCTCGGCCTGGGAACTAGGAAGCTGTATGCCCACACAAGACATGAAATGTTGGATTTACAACTCTGCTCACATTTCTTGCCCTCTGAACTCACTCCCTCTTTGCCGAGGTGCTGGCGGCCGGACATGCTAAACCTCTACTGCAACGCGAACCACATTCTTCGTTCCACACTTATACAACCCTCCGGTACTTGGCAACCGCTTCAAGTTCGAGTCTCTAAACGTACATTGCAAATACAAATCGGTACCTTTGGCCTCATCATTGAACGGCACAAAACCGATCGCACAATCCTAATATCAACAGAAATACCTTTAGCGCACACGGCTGGTTCTTCAAGCTAGCTACGTGCAATGTTCGTACGCTCATGCAGATTGGTTCACAAGCTATTCTTGCGCGCACCTTGGAAACCCACTTGACGTTTGCTGCCTAACTGAAACGCCTTTACGAGACTCCAGCACAACGCTGAGATTGCTCTCACCCTCTCCAAGTTCTAAGTGCACATTCACCTTGCGCCCATCTGGAGATGCAACAGCTGCAGTCTCTGGCTGCGCCTGCGTGGAAGTCGTGTTAAGCGCGCGGGCTGTGGCAGCGCCCATTAACTGGTTCCTAGTCAACAGTCGTCTTTGTACAGTCTACTTGGAATGCTCAGTGTGATCTCTCAAGCGCGGGACCAGTAGGCGCAGCTTATTCATTGTGGCAGCGTACGCTCAAACGGACTGCAGCCCGGACGAAGCTAAAGACGAGTCCTACTGCCAAATCACCGACCTCCTCAACAAGAAACGCCGAATGGACATCGTGATACACGCAGGTGACGTAAATGCGGAGGTTGGTAGACTAGAGTTTCATGAGCGCGAACTTGCGAGTCAACACAGCCACGGTGCACGCAGGATGGACAAACTGCGATCGACTCGTTTAACTTTGCACCGACCACAGCTTGTTCCCCTCTGACAGCAATTTCCGTCTTTCCTGGGACCAACGAGCCACCTGGCGACCTCTGGCGCCTGGTCAATCTTGGAAGCAAATTGACCACATCGCTATTGTTTACTATGGGTGAGGCTGCATAACGAATTGCAAATCAATTTGAAACATTTACTTGACTTCGTCTCATGCTCTCATGTGTGCTAAGTTCGTCCTGCGTTTTGGATGCACTTAACAACGTCGCCGGAAACGACATGACACAAACAAGCTCGCCGCTCCAAATATCCTCGGTGAATTTCAGAACACATTGGCCTCCAACCTGCGTTCTCTGTCCTCCGATGTTGAGACACACTGGACACAAATCCAGAATGCCTTACTAAAGTCGGCTATATTGATCCGGGGCTTCACTAGTCGAGCTGCTATTCACTGGATCGCCACACAATCTCTCCAATTAAAAGAACTTTGTCGATTATTCCACCCGGAGTTGATTACAACACACTACTCAGAACGACAAGTGCTGAGCTCTGACTGCTCCTCATGAAGGAGTGCTAGGTTTGGTAGACTCAACAGGTAGTTGAGATGGAACACGCAGCCTCGTCAGGAAATTCCCGCAAACTCATCCAACTTATTCGCTCCACGAGAGGCAGAAGGCCAACAGTGAGTGGGTTTTTGCGTGAAAATGACGGTGAACTAATTCACAGTCGTCACTGTCGTCCACTACGATGGGCACAGCACTTTGAAGATCAGTTTATCTGGCCACCAGCGCAACCGAGTCTATCTTCCGGGGTTCACAGTGCTCCCTGGAGCGTGAATGTTTCTCCTCCGACAGAGGCTGGGGTTCCCAATGAGCTTCGCTTACTGAACTGCCACAATTCACCTGGCCTAAATGAAACACCCCTGCCCTTTTCAAATATGGGTGTCCTGCTTTCACTCGCGAACCAACATTTCTATTGCCCCAGATTTAAACCACCGAAACCATCCCATCCGCCTGGAATTTACCGGAAGTTATACCCCTTTACAAAGAAGAAGAGCGGATTCTTTGCTCTAACCATTGTGGCATCAGTCTCATTTGTGTCAAATCCAAACTGCTTGCTGCCCTACTCTTGCGCAGACGCAGTTGTGTACGGTAACAGCACATGCGTGAAAAGCAAGCTGGATTTCGCCCAGGTTGTAGTTGTGTCGATCACATAGTTACTATCCATCAGCTAATTGAACATCGCCATAAGCTCAGTCGACCAACCATAGTCATATTCTTGAGCATACGAGCAGCTTTTGGCTCTGTTGACAGAGTGGCTCTTTGGGACTGCTTACTGAAGTGTGAGTACCTGAGAAATACATCCGCATTCTTCGTGCCATTTAGCATCAAACTTCGGGTCGCGTGCGAGCTTACGGATATATTTCGTCCCCTTTCAATATTACTAGCGGTGTTTGACAGGGTTGCTCAGCCTCTCAAATCTTGTTCAACTTCACCATGGACGAGATCCTGGTTACTGCCCTGGATAACTCTGTGTTCTGCGGTGTTGAACTGCACCCTGTTGACCGACTGCGATTTAGAGTACGCCGATGACAGTGCTGTGATTTGTAAGTCCTCCCAAGAAACCCAGCATGCCCTGCTCAGAATGGAGATGTCCAACGCCCAATTTGAATTGACCTTTACTCATTCCATATTTAAGGTCCTATTACAGGACTTGCCGAGCGCATATCCTTCTTTCGCCATTTCGGAGCATCCGCTGGAAAAGGTCGGCAAATTCCTCAATCTTTTGAGTTGTTTTAGCATTGGCGGTTGGACAGATAAGGTCTCCCTGCACATCTAAAAGCTAGAGTCGCTTTCGCTAACATTCATCGTCTATGGCTTTTTCCCGACCTCAAGGTCGCTCACAAGGGACGAGTCTATAATGCTACGATACAAGCTATTCCGCTGTATGGCTGTAAGAGTCGGCTCGTTTGCAAAAGCGATATGCAGCGGCTATCTGTCTTCGATCGCAACTGTCTGCAAAGCATTGCTGGTGTTCGATGGCAGCATCACATCAGTAATGAGGAAATCCGTCGGCGAGTCTTCAGATCTAACGAACTCCACCGTCAGTTGACAGCAACACTTCACTGCGTAGGCTACGCAGGCTTGGGCATGTGCTCCGCATGCGTACCCAGCGGCTACCATGAAGAGTCCTCTTTGCGAGCACACGCGGGGCCTGGAAGTGAAACAAATGAGGGCAACGTAAAACTTGGATCCAATATGTTGAGGCGCAAACGTTGAAGCTGGCTGTTGTCGGGCGTTCCCGACTCCCGGGATGGGGACCAAAGGAACCCGAGCACACCTGGTTGCAGAAGCTGAAAGATATGGCCAAGGACCGTACGCAATGGTGCACTGGCGGTGAGATACTTCTATCAAAAATCTTGCTTTGCCTTTCATGCTATTATTTCCTTTTATGTGTAGTGGCACTCAGTCAATTATATTGTAATTGGCAAAGTGTTGAAAAAATATATATGTATAGATGGGGCAACTACTGAGCTCTAATGGGAAGATGTCTTACTAAATATATCATGATCAAAAAGACTACCAAAAGAATCCGCTTAACCCTGCATTGCTGAAAACTCGTTGACACCAATAGCTGTCAAGGTGGGCTTCATATAAGTAGAGCTGCACAAAGCCAAGAGGCTATAGCAAGATGTCCTATTAGTGGAAGCAATCTCCGGTGTGTAGAAAATATCTACGATGATACACAACTCTTTAGGAAAGTGTCAGTCACATTGTGAGATAGGATTTCATGCTTTCGTTGTAGCATTAACTGGAGAACACGTATTGAATATAAAAGGTTGCCGAATTGGTCGAATAAGCGGACAGGCGTAACAAACTGGAATCCCACTGACCAGCAACCGCCTTCTACGCAACTCCTTGAACGCAAAATGAAAGCACCCTGCAGTATCCGGTTATACGATCATGTAAACAATCTGTAGTAGCTTAAACAGCACTCTACCAGGTGATAGCCGAAATCTAGTACGGATGTCGTTAACGTTGCGCTAGTTAAATGCCATCCTCGTTGATACGTGTAAGCATGAGTTTCGAATGTAAGCAGTTAGTGTGTTGTAGCCACTTAACAACGGGATGAAGCCTTGCTTATATTAGCATCATCTGTATAGTGCAATCATGTTGTAGTGCGCGCACGGTAGACTAGTCTGGTCAGCAAGTGTTGGTACCTCCCTCGCAAGTTTATTGCCTCCGAAGGGGTATAAAAGCAGTCGGCGCCGTGAAGCACCGTTCGCAAGTCCATTCTCCGTCCTCAACATTCGCCATGCAAAAGGCGACATTTTTCATCCTCCTCATCACCGTTCTCGTGGTGCAAGCTGAGTAAGAAAACCGAAACATGCCATATTAAATTTATCTTTCAGCGACAGTCCAACTGATGCGGATGTGCAACATTTGGTGAGTCGAAATGACATTCCCGAGATAAAGTACAACTTTCATGATAGAAAGAAAGCGGCCAAAAGATAATTGCGACCGCAATGCAAGCGAGAGAAAGGGTCATGAGCAAACTGAGAAAGAGGATAGAACAATACCTAGCAAAAGATAAGTTGGGTGAAAAGATCCATGCGGTACTACTTATACGTAAGTTTGGCAAAATATGTCTCCAATATGGCTTTGCATTTTAGTTATTCAACGATGGGAACAACGCTGGGATAAATGGCTAGACCATTAAGCATTGCGTACAAAATCTTTCTCTCGGTGTTTATCCTATCAAAATTTTTTACTTAATTCTGGATAATAGAAGATCTGATTCTATATATCTTGTTTTTTACATAAACAGTGCAACAAACAGTTAACCGAGGTGGTTTCAAAGACGTAATGGGCTACTGATGACTGCATTTTTTTAAACTATCAAAATAGCTGAAGTCATGTTAGCAGTTTAATCATGCATTAAGGTTTAGCTTTGATATACGGTGCATAGTAGTAACATGAGCAAATGTGTTTAAAGCGACTGATAAGAAATATGGTCTAAGTATTCAGTAATACATGAGATGGCGTGATGCATACTTGAGTCTGCCAAAGTGGATGGGGTGGATCACAACGACCCCCATCAATACAAAAGTAGAGAAGACCACCAACTCGCCAGCCCAAAATCCATCTGTAGGGTTGGAGGAAAACATGATAGCATATTTAGCAACGTTATGTATTGTAACTATAGATCAGCTTCGGCGGATAAGGGTGGAATATACAAGTTTAAACTTACACTATTATTAGCATTGAAAATCGGATCAGCCCAAGTTGAGTGAACGAAGCCGGGAAAATCGTTAAAGGTTTGTAGGGTTATATCCAAAAATACCGCAACTAGTAATTTCAGTGCTCATCCTTGAGATGATTTTTCCTTTAGATTGCTAATAGTTCTTGTAAAATGATCCCGCTTTGCTCAATTCATGTCCCATAAACATGCACGGATGGCCTCCTGTCCGATGCAAGCGATCCAAAACAGTGACGCTAAAAACATATTTGTTTCTTCAACGTACTGCCGCTATTTCGAATTTATCCTGTAGACTTTTCTCAGTCAGTTTCCAGTGGATTCAGTTACACTTGCACTGAATAGAATAAGCATACATTCAGGCCTTGAGTGCTGTGATCTCATTGGCTATATTGATTGTCTTCATTGCGGCGCTGGGGTGAGAGGACAATGGGCTCTGTGGCATGGACTAACCCGTTCTCTTGGAATAATTACTGAACTTTTTAACACGGTTCGTCCTACAATAGTATGTACCTTGTGGTTGTTTTAAAACAAAGACAAAACAAAGACCAAATAGCTGCCAGCACCTTACTGGACATTTGGCTATAGTAGTGGTGGTTTGTTCAGTCGCACTAAATTCATCATGATAGCCGATATTTAGTAGGTTATTTTAGAGGATAGTGATGTCAATGCGGAGCTTTTGTCCGCATGTTTGTGGTGAAATAACCCGTGATTGTTGGCAAAAGCTTCTTACAAAGATTGTGAGCTATTTCACGAGAGACACTAGTGCCTGGTTGGAGACAATAACTATCACCATATCCATGTTCCATGCCATGCCAGTGTAGGATAGCTGTGTGAAACGGAATAGGGCTTTGTCGACCCCCTAGGTGGCAGTTGTTGAGTGTCAACAGCAAAAAAGTGAAAGGAACCACAAATTCAGTTAAGAACATTTATGCGACTAGTAAGAGCTGGAATGAGACGCAGTTATGGAGCAAATTATTATGGTGTATTCAAAGGAGACAACAGTTAATCGTTTCGCCAGACTATGCTAACCACTTAAACACTTGTACCCACAGACTCATAAAAACCAGCGTTGAGATTACTATTGTATCTTTCGCATTTGCTTGCGCTTGGTAAACGGAATATACACAGGCAGTCATTGTTTTGTGTGCAAGTTGTATAGATATAGCACACCTACCCTAACATTTGAATTGTATGACCGCAATGCGACAAAGACCTGAATGTACAGCCAAAGAAACTAGTTGGACGAAGCAAGGTAATCTATACGTGTTTCCACAGTAATTAATAGGACACGTTCTACGTAGTCCTACAGCTCTCAAGTTTGACGCTCCTACCACTTGCTGAACATGAAATACCTGGCCAGATAATTGTTGTATCAAATTACTGAGCTTTATGCGCCTTCACACGTCGAGGAATATCCGAAATACCATAATAGTTATGGGTTGTTATCGACTGCAGCTACGTTTTCAGGGAATCAAGTAATAGATCATTTATTCTCTGAGGAGGAGAATGATAGGTTTGAACCCCTTCACTTTCTACAATGGCGTTTTTAGCATAATTAGCGTAGGATGGATATCATACTTAGCACCTAAATTTATTAGATGGACTATGAGGTATAGTGTATCAATAGATTCCGTATCAAAGGCGAAAAAGTAAATTGCTACGTTTCCAGTAGGTATCTACTGAACAGTTTTCACTTAACCACAAGTGAACCCGCAATTAATTTGCACAGAATTACCATGATTTCTCACGTATACAAGCAGACAAATTATTCAGTTTGAAGCAGATGCATGTATTCAGTAGTGGGAACGATCGTTTTGACGTCTAAACAATGACCCGTTAGGGCCTGTCTTGAAGTGTCATATTTTGCAATGAACTTCACACAACAGTATACTATGGCCCGGTTTCCGTCTACACAGAGCCGTGGAATTAAGGAAAATCGAATGGCAACTGCCTGTTTTAATGGATCCATGAGGAAAAGCAAAACTACATAGCAGTGGACAGAAAGTGGAAAGAGTATAATCGGAGGCTTATCCACCTTGCTCTACATCAGAGGTCAGATTAGCTGACGCCGCCTAGTTTTACTTGGCTTTGTCATTGAAGTTTACGAAAACTTATTGGAATGCACACCTGTCTGATACGTTCTACGGTAGCTTTGGGATTCGAATTGTAGCTTTTATCCCGGTAGCATTATGATAGTTGGATGCATTTACAAATGAACATTAATATACGATTGATTAAACATTCTGAAGTCCGTTGGACTGGAAATCCTGTCAGCAAGTCAAAGGAAACTTCGCTTTTGACCTATCACTCGGTAAAATGGCTTGAATTAAAACAGTGTTTGCCAAGCATCTTAACGTTTTACATCAATGTAGTACTTATTTCCGTTGCTAACCTTGCGAACAACGGCGAAGAAGTGAACTTGGGAGAAGTTGCTTGCTAATCGCTCACTAGTGTACTTGTGGTTTTTTATCTGTGGTTCAGTGACATTTTGTCGCACACCTTTGGATCCATACTCATTCGTCGTGGTTTTACAAACCATACTTTGTGATACCAGTTTCCCGAGCATACTCCAGTGCATCCTACATTTACCCTTATTTCTAACTTCCGGGCTGTGTTTCGCCGATATCCATGTGCCAAAAGTTGTCTAAATCCAACCGTCGGAGACATTATTTAGTCTCACTCGATAGACCATTTCAACGGCTTTCGAAGGAACTGTCACTCGTTTAAATCCAACATTACTTGGTGCAGCCACAGATCTCAAAGCAAATTCACCTGGTGCGATCCATAGGCTTAACCACGAAAATTCTCAATCGCACCTTTGTGTATTCTGCCCCACGTTCAAGCTGACATTCGACTGGCACGCCAGAGACGACAGTCTGCAAGCTCACAATTGCAACGTGAACACTGTGGGCTTACCGACAACGTCAGAAACAGAACAACTTTTACCATAGAGGATGAGTCATTCAAATGGTTCGTAACATTTGCACAACAAGCGCGATGCGCAGTGTGTCACAGTCCAAAGACCTACGTGGATCATGTTTTAAACTTGCTAAGGGGGCATTTTGTGCCGTACCTGTTGCAAGTTCTTCCATGCGAGATGTCTCCGCGTTAAACCTAGTCAGGCCAAGTTATTAAACAAACCAGACTCACTATGGTTCTGTGTAAAATGCACATTGATCCCACTGATAAAAAGCGTGCTCCTATTATCTCAGAATTATGACCAGCTACTAGCCAAGTTTGAGGAAATGGTGATCACCGAAATCATTGGGGTTAGGGTAAGCATATCAGACTGTGCAACCCAATCCTCCCCCGTAAGCGCTTCTCCTAACTCGCGAAGAACTGTTACTAACACCTAGAGTCCAGAACATCAACAGCTGTCCCAATACCACACGTAGCTCACGTTTGACTGAAGCGGTTCCCGGTTCGATCGGAGTAACTACACGTAAGGCTACTTCCAAACTCCCGACGGAGTGCGTAGAAAAACAGCAAGCCGTTACGAGCGAAAGTTCGGTTACGGTTGCCTCTAAGAAGAGCCGTCATTTAAAAATAACATCACCCCCAACTGGATCGGAGGCTGTGGAGCGTAGCGGAGTTTTCCAGGTGCAAGCACCACCGGTTTCCTGCGGTAAAAATCCGAGTACTTCAGGCACTAACCGCGACATGTCGAAAGGTGTAAAGAAACAACTAGCTGTACTGAGCGTACTGTGCTCCAATATCCCAGAATCAAATTCGACATCGATAAGGGGCAGGCAGTTAGATGACCTCAACCAGTGGGACATTATTAGCAACCTAATCGGAGTTGTACTGAAACCTGTACACGTAATGCGTATTACACGACACCCCAACTCTAAACATTTCGGAGAGCCAAGACTTCTGCGTGTTGTGATGAACCCTATCACTGAAGTAGACTCAGTACTACTGTCGACGGATAGTCTCAGAAATGAACACTGCTCCATCCGTATCGTTTCAGACATCACATGGGGCGAGCGCTATCGATTTAACCGCACCTTAGAGGACTACCGGAAGGAAACTTCAACCAGAACCATACTTCTCCACGGGGATCCTGAAACTGAAGCACGTGGTGAGCATGAAATAACAACCCATAATAAAGAACAGTGGTGTTGTATTCTTGAAGCACTTCGCTTCGATGATGTGTTAGCGAAATCCGTGTCACGACTGCGTACCTCACCGAACTACAAATGAAGTGGCCCGAGAGTGCTGAAGGTGGTCCTTCAGTCAAAACATATGGTAGTACGGATGGTAAAAAGCTGGTACGCGTTCCGTTGCAAGCTATCATCTGAGCTTAGGCTGAAGACAGACGGCGATATCACTCCTAGAGATGATATGTCACTCAAAGAACCAAACGCGATGGGATCTATATAAGAAAAATGCACCAGTAGTGTGCCGAATGAG